CGTTCCGCGCGTTGTTAATCTAGCTGTTATAATTTTTTCGTTTCAGTCTGGCTTTGTTTTATTTCATTTTGCATTGTGTGTCTCTTGTCATTTCTCCTAAGATTTTATTATTTTTTGTTTAGACGAAGCGTAATAATCAGGTATCTCTTTCTTTATAGTATACATTTCAATCTAATTTATTTTTGCTTAGTGTTGGGAGAACGTTGCAGTTCTAAAACCAGCTCGTTATTTTGAGAAGATAAAAGGAACATATATAAATATTATTGAGATAGCCTGGATATTTCGGTGCGTGTTGGCTATTTTTAGTCCTTTGTTTGTCACAATGCGATGCAATTAAAAGTGGGAAACGGCAGGGTCACGCCGACTGATGTGTGTTTTTGAAGAACGTTTTGGACTCTCGGAAGCATTTCTGATTCTGAGAAATCTGAAAAATAAAAATCTTTTATTAATCATTTTGGAGGTTAGTGACCCATGACAAAAAAAAAGGAAAACAGTCATGCCTACATAGAAACACACAGTATATATGTATGTATATAATATAATGTGTCAAAAAAGTAATAAAGTGTATGCCCAAATGTTTCGGGCTCTTAACATAAATACGAGTAATACTGTGCACCTTTAAGATTAAGTCCAAGCCTTGCGCGGTATTTGTGGCTGATAGGTTTTTTCATCTGTTTTCTGACCTGTTTGAAACAATGGTAACAAAGTATTGTTAGTTAGAGACACAATTCTCCATTCATTAAATATGCAATGTATGCCCATTCCGCTAATACTGATGGACCTCAATACACGCGCAAACTCACGTTCACGTTTCTTTGATTTCACACAATTTTAAAAAGTCTGCTTTTTTAAGGTCAGTTTTGAGTGACCATATCTCCGGCAACTTTTAACATAGAAAAAATATTGATCCCTCAGAAGAATTTGTTCAGCTTTAAATTGGTATTATTTGTGCATGCGCAGTGCAGAGCTTTGACACGATGATTGGGCGAATATTATATTTTCAAGTTTCATTTTGACCCCACTGAATATACGTATTTGGCTTATTATGCAGTTTAACGTCAGTATGCTATGTATTATGAGGTTTATGAAAAACACAGGTAGAACTTTCCCTTATTCTCCTGTATCGATTGAATCATCTTAAGAAAGATGAAGAACACACCTGGCTTAAACTTGGTGTCAGTGTTTTATGATAGTCTAAACAGTAATGCAATTTTCTACAAGATTGAAGTCAACAACTACGTCGACAAATATAAAGATAATGGTGATGATGATTTTGATAATGATATTCTAAAAAGTGCAAACAGTTGAAACTTCCTTGCAAGATATTAAAAGAAAACCTTCTGTTTCCGTTTGAAATGTCTGCTATGACACTGCGTCTACTGTTGGTGTTAAAGATAATGCTATTTATGTCATGGTGATAGTGTTATGATGGCCGTCGTGTCAAAAATGAAGCTATAATATTGATGTTGGTTGATTACAGTAAAACTTACTTCTTACCAAGAACAGGTTCTGGGAGGCGAGGTTTATCACTATCACACCAAGCTGATGACAAAAGCTGCTCGAACTGGTGGAAAACATATCTGGCATCAAGACTATGGGTAGGTTTTCGTTATTTTCGTGGGTTTTTTTTCGGCCCCCCACCCCCACCAACATTTTCCGGTGTTCTTTTCTTTTTGCTTTCTTGTTTTACTTTTTAAAATAACAAACGGACAACATTTCGGAAACATCAAGTCTAAATACCAAATACAGAGGGGTGAGTCTAAATAACAAGGGTTAGGTTGAAAACGACATGGGATGGTTGTGGGTAAGTTGCTTTTTAATTAAGGGGAGAGAGAGAGAGAGAGAGAGAGAGAGAGAGAGAGAGAGAGAGAGAGAGAGAGAGCAAAGGAGAGCCCCAGAGACAGGTAGACATTTTTAATCCTCTCTTAATTTAATGTAGAATTCGGAGAGAGGGGGGGGGGCGGCAAAGGACGGCCCCGAAGACAAGTAGACATTTTTAATCCTCTCTTAATTTAATGTAGAATTCGTTTTCATTTTGTTAACAAATAAATAAAGACAACCTTACTCTTCAAATAAACAATCCCATGCACAAACAATTGAAAATGCTCAGTAAAAAAGACACAACGTCAGAAGTAAACAAGATCAGATTGATAATGCAAACACAAACACAACGTCACCTCAAAGCAAATCGAATTAGTTACCTGATATCAGCCTACTCTAACTCCTAATCTTCGATTCTGAAAACACACGCTTATCATCCACACAATCTCTTAATTAGAAAATTCTTTGAATCTCAGTTTCCTAAACCTGCGCTATACCAGTAAGGACGACAAACAAACCACAGATTAAACCGTGGGGCCTATTTGTAAATAAATTTGCTAGCTATTATGTTAAGTAGACGCTTGTCCGATTTTTAGCGGCCTGTAAGATTTGCTCGAGGCAGACAATTCGACACTCCTACATTCATTAAAAAAAACTAACTTGGATGAAAATAAACTATCCCATTCTCGGTCTTTTCTCGTTCACTTTCAAATTCCACCCGCTCTTGAACTAATTACTAAAAATGTCGACTTAAGCTTTACTGGCGCCTTTGGTGCAGCACTTAAGCGCTTTGCCGTCACCGAACCTGGTTCGTTCATAACGTAGCCAAGCAAGATACCAGCTGAGCTATCAGAACTCAGAACACCCTCGTGTTAACTCAGGGTAACGGTGGTTAAACAGTTAAAGAACCAGAAGATGTTTGTTGTTTTCTGTATGGTGCAAAAGACGTTATCCATGCCGATGAGTTAAAAGTCTTAACTTTTCCAACGAATCTTTAGTGGACACTGACCTTCCATGACGTAGACCAGACTGCCGACATCGCCCTCTTTGATGATGATCGAATCTTTCTGGTTCTCCACGGGATGCATACAGTCGACTATTTCTCGTATCTGGCCCATGTCCAAGTTTTTCATGAAGTCGTTGTCGAGAATTGCTTGGCGAATCAGTTCCTTGGAGCTAAAGAAGATACAAAAATAAAACAACCATTGAAGACCTGAAGATAAGGGGAGTTAATCAACGAACATATGAAATAACACTGGGAGAACAATGTTTTAAAAGTGCTAAACGTTCAATTTGTAGACAACATTTAATTTGTTTAAACCATTGACGCAAAACATGCATTATACTTGGAAATAATTAATGAAGGTAATGTAATAGTAATACTGACTGCGTAGAAAAAAACCCTGAGACCATTCCATTAATCACACACAGATAAAAAGAATGACAGGGGAAGTTTTAGTTTAAGTAAGTGTTTTACGGCAAATAGGTGTCGAAGATTAAGAGGTGTTACAAGAGAGTGAGTAACGAACACAAAAAGAAAGAGGAAGAGATCAGTACGTCAGATGCTTGATAAGAAAGAAGGACCAAACCACAGCACAGCATCCGCCAACCAACTACTGGCAGAGGGAAAAAACAGTAAAAAGAGGATAGAAACGAGGAAGACAGACCAAGTGAGAGAATGAGTGAAAGAAAGAAAGAGAGAGAGAGAGAGAGAGAGATAGACAGATAGAGAGATAGATAGATAGATAGATAGATAGATAGATAGATAGATAGATAGATAGATAGAGAGAGAGAGAGAGAGA